ACCGGTCGGCAGGGGTGTTAACTCCTGCATGGGCACTGACCCACAACTGTGACACCTAAGGAAGGGGGTTTTCTTTTGTTCTTATGTGTCTTATAAGTGTTACTGTCATGAGTCTTTGAAAAAGAACACCTTCCTGTGGCAACAGGTAATAAGATGGACATTTTAAAAATATTTCAATCACTCTCTCATATCATATCGTCGCCCGCGTGGCGCAGTGGTAAGAGCGTCTGCTCAAGAGATGCGAAGTAAGGAGTTGATCCTTACGTCGCGGGTTCTAATCCCACTGTGAGATTGGTCCTTCGGATGAGACCGTATAAACCAATGCCTTATGTCGTAGTAGGTGCTGGCACAAAAAATTCCTCACTGCTCAAAGGCCCTGAGTGAAAAGCATAGGATAAAATTTGTAGCCCTCAACCGGCAAGTGGTGGCGTCTCCATATGAGTGAAAAATTCTTGAGAGGGACGTTAATCAATCAATCATATCATATCAACTGGAGAAAAATCCAAGGCCAGACATTTTAAATTATAGTAGAGAATACATGTAGGATGACGTGATTCTGTAACTTTATTTCATATGCATGTTTATCTCTTTCACTTTTGGTAAGATTGAATGAGAACGGTTTATAATTTGATATCATTTGAGACTTCGTTTAATAGAGACGAGAATGCTTTGATAACTAAATCCTCAATTAATTTTTGATTTTTGTCTTAGATATAAGATGAAATGAAAGATTTAACAAAAGTAGTTCAAAAAACATATAGTTTTTTAACGTATACAAGCTATTATATATTTAGATTTTAGTTCAATTTCGCACAGAATTTTTTATTTGTATTCGATAATTTATAGCTTGGATGGAAAATTATACAATTCAAATGAAAAGTTATAGAATACAAATTGAACATAAAAAGGGAATTCGAAATAAATTTTACAAAACAAATAAAAATTATACAGTACAAATGGAAAATTGTACATTGCAACACAGTGTATGATTATAGAATACAAATAAAAAATCAGGCAATCCATATGGAAAATTTTTACAATACAAATGGAAATTTATAGAATACAAATAAAATTATACAATACAAATGAATAATTTTACAATATAAATGGAAAACTATAGGATGCAAATAAAAATTATGCAATTCAAATGGAACATTTTACATTGCAAATGGAAAATTATAGAATGATTGATTGATTTTATATTGTTTAACGCCGAATCGGCAATATTTCAGCCATATTTCGGCGGAATTATAGAATGAAAAAAAATATATACCGGTAATATGAAAAAAAATTGAAATACAAAGGGAAAAATTTTAATTTTGTAACTTTTGACATACCATAGTTTAAAAACATTCATAAGAAAAATGAATTAAATAAATATTCAACAATCTAAGTACTGCCTTTTTTTGTTATAAACATTTAAAACACTTTCTTCGGTTCGTACAATGCATATTTATTCAATTTGAAATATATTTGATGTCGAATTATATTTTTCCTTCTTTCCCGCTCCCCCGAAAAACAAATGACCCGGAAGTTAATGTGAAGTCGGTCAATAGATTATTGCATTGCTCTAAAGGAGCCATGTTTTAGGGCGTAAAAGGTAGGACAAATCAATATTAATCTTTTAATTGAATATCTTTTATTTTTTCTACATATAGATGCAGTTAATGATATTTGTTTATAAACTGCAATTTAATTCTTGAAAGTTGAACTAGCCAAACAGCGTTTATTCTACTTTCAGTTTAAAGCGATTTCCAAATAAACCCTAGCCCAGAATTTTACAACTCGTAACTTTAAAACATTAATTTACTTTTCAAAAAATAAAATAGCATAAAGTTGTTTAAATTCTTATACAATTGAATAAGTAAAGTTACCCGTGCATGTAGGTCTCCAGTAAAGAAAAAAAACTGTCGGTTCGTTAAAACTTAAAATGGATGTGTTAATTAAAGACCCTCTTCAAATGTTGAAAAATAAATAGTAGAATACAAAATTAATTTAATTCAACTTTACTTCATCATCCATTGGAGACCATGGCTAGTTTAAACTAAATCAAAATGAAGGTGTATATAATAATGATATTTATTTACTATGCAATTAATTGTTAAACTAAATTAACGTAAATGATTCCTCGTCCATTTTAACTAAAATTACTTACTCTGGCACATTCTTCCGAAAGTTTCAATATTCTAACTTTCGTGCCAAACTTTTTATGTAATTTAATAACCTTTACCTTTTAAGTTAGCTTGGGGTTCTGATATTGCTCTAAAAAGATTTTCTGAAGTTATTTTCTATTTTTTTATCAAACTTATTCATATGTACATTCTATTCTTTTATTCAGAAAACTTTTAAACATGGCTTCGGGGTTTGCTCAGCACTATGTGGAATGTACAACATGCGATAGCAATGCTGAGTACCATTGCAACACATGTCAATTTGACTTGTGTCAGGCCTGCAAAGAAACCCATCAGCGAAAGAAGAAAACGGAAAACCATGAGGTCGTTCTGTATAAAGAAAGAGAAGAAAAAGTACAAGAAAGGTGCTGCACGCACAGCGACAAAATATATGACGCCTGCTGCAAAGAATGCGAAATACCTGTATGTATAAAATGTATAATGGAAAGCCATTCATGTCACGCCATTGTGGAAATCGAAGTCATGTTCAATGAGAAACTTGAAATGTTTACCAAACAAATACAAGAGTTGAAAGAAAAAATAATTCCACAGTGCGAAGATATTCAAAAGAATATAAGCCAAAAAATGGAAAACTGCAGAAAATCACTTTCACAAATTCGATCAGATTTGTTAGCTACCGCTCAATCCATCAAAGACCTGGTGGACCTGATACTTAAAGAGAAAACAGAAAATTTAAGTAAAATTGAAGACAGTCTTATGAAGGAATTGCAATCCATGAAAAAGAGATGAAGACATACACCGACGACCTTAATTCTATTATCCAAGATGTCGAAGTTCTAAGGAGAACAGGCAAAAAAGGCCGAGTTTATAATCAAACATAAAGAAAAATTACTAATACACCACTTAGAGTCGCTCGGTGATATGTTTTATACCCCGACTCCATCATTTACGTCGTGTTCTGTATCCAAGGAGCAGATTGAGAAATTATTTGGGGGATGTTGTTGAAAAGCCAAAAATTCCTTTACCCGGTACATCTGATCTGCATCGCCTTGTTGAAAAAGCGAGATTTTTTCCTCCTTATTTTGAAATAGCGATGACTTTCGAAGAAATCGGTCACATTGACGTGTCTGGTGTTAATAAAATACACCATATTGTTTTCCAAGATGAAAATACATTCTGGGTCAATGATGGGTCTGAATGTCTAAGACAGACAGACATGCAAGGACAAATATTACACACGATCAAAACTGCTTCTAATGGAGACGGCATTCATACATTCACAGAACATGGTATTCTATATATTGCACCAAATAAACGTGATATACACTTATCAGGCCGGGAGGGAAAAGTAGAGATCTCATTACTATTAATGATTGGGATTTAAAAAGTGTCTACAAAAGTCGTTTGAATGGCGATATCTTTGTTGGGATGAGGAAAGAATCTACAGATGCTCGAGTCACGAGGTACAATGAAAACGGTGAAATTCTTCAACATATCCAATACACTAAACAGCATATAGGATCCAATCAAATCCACACTTTATAACAGAAAACAGGAATGGCGATGTAATAGTGACAAGTAATGGAAACAAAAAGGTTGTAGTTGTGATGGACAGATCGGGAAGATACAGATTTAGCTATACAGGAAATCCAGGAAACTCGATTGCAAATCCCTGGGGAGTAGTGACGGATATTCTAAAGAACATTCTTATTTGCGACAGTGATAACAAAAGGATCCAGATTATCAACGAAGATGGCATGTTTCTCGCATACATAAATGTGCCTAATGCGTACGGTTTTCTTAGCGCTGTGGATGTTGATGACATGCATTACGTTTGGGTGGGATTTTCGAGTTCTGGTACAATAAGAAAATTTCGATATCTTCAAGAATGAGATTAAGTCTTTTCATTCCAAAAGTCTTCATGCAGTTTTGATACTTAGAGCTAAGTTTGATTTGATGTTGGGTTTTTTTTCAAATCATTAAAGATAAAATTCCATATACTGAGAAGGACTCTCTCTCAAAAATTGAAATGCATGGCATCTGATCCCATCTCTGATGTTTTGGAGGTCCATGTTCAAGCTTAAAAGTCCATAAAATGATGCAAAATAGGAGCAGAGAAAATACTGTTCGTTATCTCCATATACTTATGCACTAGTGTGATGTCAAAGTGATTTTGTTTCCTTACATAACGAAGCGAAAATAAACTGCCAGGATTTTTTCATTATTTTTTTTTTTAAATCAACATGGTTTTGTGCGTTACTCTCAAAACTTTATATTTAAGATTTCTCCACACCCAGTAATATGAGATGTCCATCGAGAAAAAATACTTTTACTTCGATTTATAAAGATTGTGCACTGCCGATTCGCCATATGAGTGAAATATTCTCGAGAGGGACGTTAAAAAATAATAAAAAAAAAAAAACAGAAAAAAAATAAGATAATGGAAATTTATCTAACAGAAAATTATAAAACAAAATAAAAACAGACACCTATAGAATAAAAAGGTACATACATGTAATACAAATTATGGAATACACAATACGATCGATATAAACAAATTATGAAAAACGTATTTGAAAGAGATTACATCAGTTAAATTATTGGGTAGAGTGTCATTTGGATGGGAAGAATCACCCTAAAGTTGGCAATTTACCAGGGTTTTACAAAGACAGTCATAGTAAAGTATCAGTTATTGCTCCTCTCTCTCTCTGTAAGAAGTTTGTATCACTGTGCATAATGCATTTCCTACAAGGGGCTACTGTATATTTTCCTTAATCCACCTATTCTAGAAAAAAGTTGTAAAGGACAATTTAAAATGAGAAATGATATTAATAAACTCTGATTTAATTGTTTCCTCATTTTATGACCAAAAGTTGTATATAATCCTTTTTTTTCATTTTGAAAGATTTTTTTTTCATCTTTAAGGATAGATGATACAAACCAGAAAAGGATGCCTGGGTTGGTATATATTTTGTGGAACATCTTGATTTTTAAATAATTAGAATAATATTTTTTATAAACTGTACAATATTTTGTCACATTGTAAAAATTTGAATAAAACAATTAAAAACTGGTGATATAAATATTAACCAGATGTTTTTTTTCTTGATTTTTTTTAAATTAAAGTTTGTATTGTCTTTTTTTAAGGAAGCGAAGCAATAGATACATGTATGACAACAAAAATGAGCATAGAAAATCCTTTTTCAAAAATTATATCCCACGCTTGAAAATGAGAGGGGATATAGTGATAGAAAGTTAAATAAAAGTAACATTTACCCGTTTTACATTCACCTAAAACACAGTCAATGCTTAGATTTGAAAAAATGTTATAAATTAACTAGAGGTACTGTGAGCAATGAGCTAGCTCACTAAATGATATCCCCACTCCCATATAAATATATTGGCAGTGTCCATGGTTTGCTCTGGAAAACCCAAAATATGTGTCAGATCAAAAAGTAAAATAGGAGGTGCACAATAGCAATATGTAACGGAGATCCTGTGAAAGTTTCATCAAATTTTATTGAGTGGTATGAGAGGATTAGCAGAAGAGAGATGAGTATCCAAAAGCATAACAGGCGGAAGGAATGCAAATTACTATAGTAATTACTATATAGTTATAATACTATACTCGGTATTTACCCTGGGGGATGGGGGGGGGGGGGTGTTTTAATGATACATTTTCATTACCTTTATATGCCGCTATTCCTGCCGAATCGCCATCAAAAGCGTCAACGCCAACTATACTTTTTCGTATTATACACTTAAAACACTTTCCTGGGTCGAACAAATTCAATGCATAATTTTTTCCATCTAAAATATATTTGATGTCGAATTTAATTTAAAAAAAACAAAACTTATTCATCACTTTTTCGCTCCTCGAATGACCATGAATTTAAACTGGCCTGCTTGTTTGATTTGCGCGATATACTTTACATACGATACGATAGAGACAAGGAAAACTAGAGGTACTGTGAGCGATGAGCTCACTAAATGATGAGGCCCCCGCCTCCCATATAGTTATAATGGCAAAATCCATGTTTTGCTGTGGCCGGGAAACCCAAAATATCTGTCGAATCAAAAAGTAAAACAGGAGGTGCACAATGGCAATATGTAATAAAGATTCTGTGAAAGTTTCATTAAATTTCACTCAGTGGTATGAGGAGTTGCGGATAAAGATGGGTACCCAAAACCGTAACAGACAGACGGACGGACGGATGTACCGATTACAGTTTACCCTCCTACTTTTTAAGCGGGGGGTATAAAACAGTCTACCCTAAATGGCAACAAAATGACCCGGAAGTTAATGTAAAGTGGGTCAATCGATTTTTAAAAAGATTGAACAGTTGAAAGGAGCAATGTTTTAGGGCGTCCATAGTAAAAATTTGTGAAAGTGCAAGGATGTGTCAATCAAACTCGCCAAAAAATTTAAAGTTTTAATAACTTTGAAATGAAATAAGATTTTTAATTAATTTTTGTGTGAAATGCTATTAAAATATATAAGTCGTAATATTATTCAGAAAAAATTACCTCCGAATCTGTGTCCAAGTACCTTTAATTCATATACAATGATTGAATAAGTTAGTGATTGAATAAGTTAGTCAAGTTACCCGTAGTTCTCCAGTTCGTTCGTTAAAACTTAGAATGGACATATTTCTGACCGAATGGATGGTACTTTAAGGCCTTAATGAAATGTTGAAAAAATAACAAGTAGAATACACATTCATCAATCAATTTTATTCAACGTAATTTTATCATTTCAACGGACACTATTGCAAGTTTATATTCCAAATCAAAATTTGTAAGTGTATAGTAACGATATATTTTTATGCGCCCGAATTTATTCTGGGCGTATATTATGTTCCCCAAACGAAGTTGGGGAACATATTGTTTTACTCTGTTTCTTATTAAGGTCTTCCGTCTCCAACGGAAGACCTTCTTGTTATTCTTCGGTTTCTTTTTCCCTATTATTATTATTATTATTTTTCTTACCGATTTTGTGCACGCGATTTCTCGTAAACTACTGGGCCGATTCTCATGAAACTTTCACATCTGATAGGTACTGATCTGAACCTTATTGGAAATTTTTTCGTTGACGTCGTCACTTCCGGTCGTGAGATATGGACAATTTCCTGATTTTAAAATGCAATTTTGTCTTGATTTAGTAGCAAAAACTGCTTAAGATATGAACTGAAGATTAATTGGAGATGATAGTTCATGACTTATAGCGTTGCAGAATCGCCTTGCCGTGCGTCGTCAGTACTTCCGGTCGATACCGGAAGCGAATTCAAAAAACGCAATTTTTCAACTTTTCTTTTTTAATATTTTTGCATTTGATTTGAATAGAGACCCTTTTGCAGAAGCGAAATATGTAATTTGTTTGAAAATCGCAAAAGCCAATCTCGAGATATTTGCATTTGAAAATGCGAAGCGGCGATCCCAATGGCCGAATGGTTAGCGTGTTGGATTGTCACGCGGGCGACCCGGGTTCGATCCCCCATATGACCAAAAAAATTTTATCATTTTTTCTGCTCGAATTTTCGATATTATTTAATTTTAGACCATTTGGAACAATATGTCATAATTTTTTAAGCATATCTTGCGTAATTAGGGGTCACGAAGGGCCAGAATGTCAAATCTTTGACGCTTTATATCTCGAAAAGGGGGGGGGGTATTTTGATAAGCAATATTGAACAAAAGATGACCAGAATAATGTTCTTAACAATATGCATACTTTGAATTTTTGTAAAACGGCCCCATTAAGGACTTGTAGGAGTGGCCCCTAAATATTTTCATTGAGCATATCTCCACAACAAAAAGAAATCTCTGAATAAGTGTTGAACAAAAAATCTTCAAAATCACAAGACCTTTCATTTGATATCAAGAAAATGGGGCTGACCCCTCAAATTAGGGGCTCATAGGGGCCAAAAGCCTTTTATCTATAACTCTCTAATGATCAATATTTTGTTATACATTACTGAAGCAAAAGTATTTATCTTACCGATTTGCAACAAAATATGATGATATTTTAATAATATATTACGTAATAAGGGATCAAAAGGGGCCAAAATGTCACACCTTTGACGCTTTATATCTCAAAAAGGGGGAATATTTTGATAAGCAAGATTGAACAAAAGATGGTCAGAATAATGTTTTAAACAATATGCATACTTTGAATTTTTGTAAAACGGCCCCATTAAGGACTTGTAGGAGTGGCCCCTAAATATTTTCATTGAGCATATCTCCACAACGGAAAGAAATCTCTGAATAAGTGTTGAACAAAAAATCTTCAAAATCACAAGACCTTTCATTTGATATCAAGAAAATGGGGCTGACCCCTCAAATTAGGGGCTCATAGGGGCCAAAAGTCTTTTATCTATAACTCTAACGATCAATATTTTGTTATACATTACTGAAGCAAAAGTATTTATCTTACCGATTTGCAACAATATATGATGATATTTTATAATATATTACGTAATAAGGGGTCAAAAGGGGCCAGAATGTCACATCTTTGACGCTTTATATAAAAAAGGGGGAATATTTTGATAAGCAATATTGAACAAAAGATGGTCAGAATAATGTTCTAAACAATATGCATACTTTGAATTTTTGTAAAACGGCCCCATTAAGGACTTGTAAGAGTGGCCCCTAAATATTTTCATTTAACATATCTCCACAACAAAAAAGAAATATCTGAATAAGTGTTGAACAAAAATCTTCAAAATCACAAGACCTTTCATTTGATTTCAAAAAAAAGGGGGCTGACCCCTCAAATTAGAGGCTCATAGGGGCCAAAAGCCTTTTATCTATAACTCTTAAATGATCAATATTTTGTTATACATTACTGAAGCAAAAGTATTCATCTTAACGATTTGCAACAATATATGATAAT